AATTCACTATCTCAACAAATTAGAATACTTCATAAGAATAACAAATTCACTAAAAACATTTTTAGTGAATTGTTGGCCTTCTGGAAAGTATGTTCATTTACTGTACATGTACTCAATACTTGGTAGGGGCTCCTTTTGCTTTAATTACTGCCTCAATTCGGCGTGGCATGGAGGTGATCAGTTTGTGGCACTGCTGAGGTGGTATGGAAGCCCAGGTTTCTTTGACAGTGGCCTTCAGCTCATCTGTTTAAATATATATTATTTTTATATTTTTGTAAAATTTATTTTATATATAGCTACAGTACTGAAAATCCATTGATTCATCAAGAATAACGTAAATAATGAAAATGTAATGAGATCATGTAATGATTTTGGGAGAATATTTGAAATAAAAAAAAGGCAGAAAATGTTAATATTGCTAAAATAGTGTTCATTTTCATGCAATATTTGTCATGTCCATCAAATACACTTTAATTTTTTATGTAAATGCACATATTAGCATTACCAGCATTTTGAGAAATGCTTTAGTTATTGACCCATCTCTAGTGTCTAATATGTATATACTGTATACTGCATGCATAGTGAAGTCTTATCTGCATGCTAATTTTACTTTCCTTGAAACTAAATTTTCAATCATCAAAATTCATGGAATCGAAGAGTGCACAATGACCAGAATTCCTGTATCGGTTGGGTTAAGTTAGCTCATGTGCTATGTGTTGAATGTATGCTCATTGTTGTGTCTGAAATAATCCAAGTAATCTCAGAACATTCTAGTTGTCCATTTATTATATATTATGGATTAATATGCATTAATCAGACTTTGTGGTGTTCAGCACAGCTGTAAAATGTCTTATTCTTCATGTAAACATATGTGTAATGGAGACAGCGAGGTGATCTCACCCTCGGCATTCTCCTCACTCTGTGTAACTGATATGTGAAAATGATCTCCAGGTCTCAGTTTGGTGTCTTGTTTGTCATTTTGGTTTGTGTTAGGATCAACAGCTGTGTGGGGCAGGCCAATCACCGCGACTTCCTTCTGACACTTGTTTTGTTTCTGCTGACGTCGCTGTACGGGATCAGTTTGGTTCTTCGAAGCGTGTGTCCCGACCAGAATGTAATGACTGCACTGTTCTATTGTCCTGCCGTCTACAACCAGTTCAGGTGTGGATCCAACTACACAAACTCACATAAATGCTTTCTCTTGCATTTAATTCAGTAGGTTCTGACCCTTTTTTCCCCACCTCTGTTCCTTCCAGTTCATTAGTTATTCATGGGAAAAAGTCACTTTGCTGCTTCAAATGTACTACATTTGCACCATATCAGTACTCAGCAGAATCGTTGAGGGTTAAGGGAACAAACTGAACGAAAATTTGTCTTTCCCAAACAACATTTGCCATTCTTCACACAAACACGCAATCCTGTCCAAAGCTTATGGCTTTGGTTAAAGGATTGAATGAACATTTGCTGAAAATTTACTAATTTAAGTTAAATCTGCTCTGATTAAGTGTGTTTATCAGAACAGATTTGGAAAAATTTAGCATTACATCACTTGCTCACCAATGAATCCTCTGCAGTGAATGGGTGCCGTCAGAATGAGAGTTTATACAGCTGATAAAAACATTGCAAAAATCCACAAGTAATTCACACGACTACAGTCTATCAGTCAACATCTTGTGAAGTGAAAAGCTGTCTTTGTACTAAACACATTTTTGGGTGAAAAAAAAAAAAAATATATATATATATATATATATATATATATATATATATATATATATATATATATATATATATATATATATATATATATATATATATATATATATATATATATATATATATATATATATATATATATATATATATATATATATATTAGTGCTGTCAAACGATTAATCGCATCCAAAATAAAAGTTTTTGTTTACATAATATATGTATGTGTACTGTGTATATTTATTATGTATATATAAATTAGGGGTGCAACAGTTATCGGTAAAAAAAAATCGCTCCGTACAGTTCTCCACACACGGTTCAGCTTAAATCTGACAACACATCTGTAATATGGTTTGTTATGTTTCTGTTGATGGATACAAATTCTGGCTTCCCAATACATTACAACAAGAGTGATGAGAGAGAAAAAAAAACAATACGTGGACAAACCAGTCACTCTTTAATCAATGCGAGTGCTTTATGCTGGAATAACTGTCATTTATGCCGTCATCACGTGTTGATAACGCAGGTGAGACCTGAACAGCACACGTTGCTATCTGTGTTTAAAGGGATCATATGATGTTGCTAAAAAGAACATAATTTTGTGTATTTAGTGTAATGAAATGTGTTTATGCGGTTTAAGGTTAAAAAACACATTATTTTCCACATACTGTACATTATTGTTTCTCCTCTATGCCCCGCCTTTCTGAAACGCATCGATTTTTACAAAGCTCATCGGTCTGAAAAGCGAGGTGTGCTCTGATTGGCCAGCTATCCAGTGCGTTGTGATTGGCCAAATACTTCAAGCGTGTGACGGAAATGTTACGCCCCTTACCATACTGTGATGCCGTGTCCGGCCGGAGCAACAAGACAAATCCTTGCAAAGTTGGAACTTCCCCACTTTATAGAAACAGCCTTTGTACCACATACGCATTGTAGGCTACTGGTTCAGGAAACAGTCCTCGTCCTCCAATAAAATTATCTGAATATTTGGGTTGAAGTGTTCTGGAACAGTGTTATAAATACAACTTAACCACTGATTTCTAGTCGTGTCCTCTTTTGGAAGGCCAAACAAAGTAGTTTCGCTTTCACAACGAAGCACACTCTTTGGATTTGAGACTTTAGTCTTTGCAACTTTACAGATCTTCTTTATGCACCAAGAGCTTGTTAATTGTCAAAATGCCCGTCTTGGTGAGTATCCTTGCAGACATAGTCGGCTGACAGTGCACTGGATCAGTGTGTTCTCTTAAAGTGACAGCACTTTCTTAATGTTAATCAAACAGCAACAACAAAGAAATCACTCACTGCTCTTAATTGAATAACTTTTGTAACTTTAATAAGGATTCATCTTTAAATTTATACAGTCAAATATGCAATGTTATTTTACATTTGATTTATTCCATTTCTGTACCTAAAAACTGTTAGACCTACCTAAAAAAACTGAAAAGCACTGTTTATTTTATTTGTATATTTTTTCTTTTTTAATAAATCTGCAAAAATGTCAACAATTCTGTGTTTTTCTGTCAATATGGGGTGCTGTGTGTACATTAATGAGGAAAAAAAATTAACTTAAATGATTTTAGCAAATGGCTGCAATATAACAAAGAGTGAAATATTTAAGGGGGTCTGAATACTTTCCGTACCCACTGTATATATGTGTGTGTTTTTAAGTTTTTCATGTTTATTTTTATTTCAGCTTTATCTCAATTAACAAAAAAAAATTGTTTTAGTTATATTTAACAACACCAACATTGGTTTGAACTTGGTTTAGATTTAAACATGGAAAAAAATTTTGAAAAAAAGTTTGGTTTCTCAGGTTCACACAGCTTTAGTATAACGGTTCATAACAGCATTTTTATTGTTTAGAGTATTAATAATATAACATGTTAATATTTAATGACCCATTTTTCTCTCTCTTCATCAGCTCTGCTCTGTGTTTCACCTGTGCCTGGTACGGCAGTATCGTGACGGGAGGTTTGCTGCACCTGCTGCTGGTACAGCTTATCAACGTTAGCTTCAACGTGACCGAACGAGAGGTGCGTCTGGCTCGGAGAGAGAAAACCGCTCGCAGCCTTCTCTGGGGTCTGATCATCGACACCGGTGTTTACTCACGAGGCTTCCGTACTAACTGGATTGAATTCATGATCATGAGCAAGGCTTCAGAGCCATCGACCCATAAACCATCAGATCTGGTGTAGAAATTCAACTGTCAGTCTCTGCTGATGCAAAAACGATTGAACTGGTCTTTAAAGTGAAGTATCGCTCATATTTAATACAGTGAAGTATAATGTTGTGCTACTTAATGTCTTCAACATCCATTCCAGAGTCAGTTTTATGGCTCTAAAAATTGTGTTCAAGGTCTCATCAAGAGTCAGTTGAATTGTGTGGATCACTAGATGGCAGTATTGTAGTATGTTACATTTCTACCAGTGTATTTCAACATCAAGTACACCATTATTCAGGTGAGGTTAGTGTTTACACAAATTATATTAACTAATTATATTATATTATATTATAAAGGTCTCACTAAATACTAAATACTTTGATTAATAATAAGAATTAATTTTTTCCCTCCATTGACTATTCATTTTATTTAATGCTTCTAAATAATAATAATAATAATAGTAACTTGCATTTACAATAAAAAAAACATAATATATATATATATATATATATATATATGAAGAGTTCAGTTGTGCCATATGAAATTTTCTTCCAAAATGAGCATTTTTCTCAGACTCCTATATTTATGTCCAGTTATTTCACTTTAATGGCAATGAAAAAAACCTATTCATTGCCATTAAAGTGAAATGACTAAACCTACACATGAGAGCCTGAGAAAAATGATGGCACTTAGAGGCTTTTGCATCTGAACTCTTCATATATAAATCATGCATTTCTGGTTTACATTCACTGCTAGCTAGACCAATTTTGGATTTAATGTCTAATATTTGTTCTCTCAACTCCAAAGTGTCTTATATGTGAACGCATATTCAGTATCGAGCCTTATTTAGTGCCTTTTTGGGACATCGGAAGTGATGCAACACTGCATCTATATCCAGACAGCACACAGCTTTAAAACTGTCATCTCATTATGAATGTTTTATGTTGAGCTTCATATTTGTTATTCGAGGACCATGTGTGTATTTTCTTTTCATTTGCTTCAGCTGGGGACAAATCTGTGGTGCGTACCATCCGGCTACATTTTGACGTGCATGAATTATCGCAGCGTTTTTGAATCAAAATTGTTTTCCTTTCATTAAATGCCTTCTAAAGAAACGGCTAAGAAGCACTTCAGAATCGGGAAGTTCATTTGTCTCATGTGAGACGGCTTTATAATGTAATGCATTTCATTCTACAAGTAGTTCAATTAAACTAGCATGGAAAAATAAACGAGCGTAAAATGATTAAACACAGAGGCTCATCAAGCTGCAGATGTTTTCAATGTCATTTGATGTCATGTAAAGCCTATGTGTGTGTGTGTGTGTGCCGTTAAAGAGGATTTACGGAGCGCCACAGGGAGTCCATAGGGGAGGAGCGGAAGTCGGGCAAAATCTCCGCCACTTTACGTCTGAGCTGCTCTCTGCGTGCCTCTCTTTCCTTCTCTTCTCGCAAGACAACAGGAAGTCGCCTCCAGCCAGCAAAACACTTCTTGACAGCTCTCCTACAAAGCCCAGAGAACCAAAGTCAGCAAGCATATTTTCATTTTTCTAAATACTGAAATTTCTTAATAACCTTAATAATCTTTAGTACAGTGGGTACGGTAAGTATTCAGACCCCCTTAAATTTTTCACTCTTTGTTATATTGCAGCCATTTGCTAAAATCATTTAAGTTAATTTTTTTCCTCAATGTACACACAGCACCCCATATTGACAGAAAAACACAGAATTGTTGACATTTTTGCAGATTTATTAAAAAAGAAAAACTGAAATATCACATGGTCCTAAGTATTCAGACCCTTTGCTCAGTATTTAGTAGAAGCACCCTTTTGATCTAATACAGCCATGAGTCTTTTTGGGAAAGAGGAAAGGATGTTTTGGCCTTATGGTGCAGTAAAACTGTCACACTAAAGGACGTCTTGACCTGCTGTTGTGCTGCTCTGCCCGTTGCTCATTGTCCCAGGCTGTGATTTGCTCCTCTGTAGCGTGATCCAGCAGGGCCATGAACACCTTCCTCTGGGTCCGTGTCCTGTGAAACCGCTCGGCTCGTGCTTCCAGTATAAAGCGCAGATCTTTTAGCTGGTAAGTATTGAAATCAAACATAGACAATTGCTCATAATTAAGGATATGAGTTTATTAATATCATTAACCCAAAATATAAATTAATTAATTGAGTAATAAATTGTCGGAAAGCTCTTTTTGTTTAGACCTGTAAGAAACCACAGAGCAAGGCCCTGGTGGGAAAGCACAACTGATAAGTTCTTTAGAAAATGTAAAGATAATAAATGATACATTTTTAGTTATATGAATGTAATAACTTATTTGAAATTATTTATTATAATACAATTATTGTCCATAGATTGTCTATAAGTAAATATGTATATTTATATTAAATTGATAAGATGGTTTTTAAACAAATAAATATTAATTAATATTTATTTAGTATTTATAATTAAAATAATTATAAACATTAAGATACTGAATGAATAATAAATAATTTAATTGATTATAATTTTATTTCATTATTTATTAGTAAAGTTAATTTACTAATAAACTTATTAATGGCCGATAAACCAAATTTTATTATAGAACTTAAAAGGTCTCATTTTTAATTACATTTATTATAAACAAATTAACAATACAATATGATACATGTCTATGAATAGATATATGCCTCTTATTTGTACTAATACTAAATTGATAGGACCTTTAAATAAATATTAAGATTAAAGTAACAAATATTAAAATAATGACTAAACAATACATCATTTAATTTGTTATAAATTAATTAATTAATTTATAATAAGTCAATAAGACACTTTTTGGCTATATAAATAATTTTTTTTTAATTAAATTTATTTATAAAAAAATTTATAAACAATACAATTATTTATTTGTTTATAAATTAATAAATGTCGAAATATCTATAAATAAAATGTCTTTAAATAATTTTGTCTAAAAATGTCTACAAATAAATGTCTGTATAATTATTACATTTATAAGACTAATTTAAAATAAATACATCTTAATATTAAAATTATTATATTAAAATGATGAATAAATAATAAATATTTATTGAATTTATTACAAATGAATGAAATTATTTATTTAAAAATTTATTTAAAAGTCAACCAGAAGAACTCAAAATCCGAAGCTTTTTTAATCATTCACAGTTTCCTATCAGACTATGTGTGTGTGGCGTTTTACCCTTTTCCAGCTACACACAGCCCTCTGAAGTAAGATCCGGTGATACAGCTGGTTGGCGCTGGCCTCTCTCTCTGCATGGGCCTCATCCACAGACTGAAGCCAGGAGCAGAAGCAGCGTCTCTGCAGAGCCACTGTGTAATGATCCACCGCGCTCTGGTGGAGACCGAAAAGGCAAAAGCACCCAAACATAAATAACGGTCTGCTTTAATTAAGACCGCCATCAACTCATACATTCCCATGGCTTTTATGGATTGCAAACTTTCCCCGGTGACTTCCTGTTGGTACTGTAGAGATATTATAGACGCACATGCTAGTTTTGGAACTAATTGAACCTTGCGGTATCTGCTTTCATGGATGTGGATCAATAGCTAAACAACAATTCATATTCTGAATTCAAAGCCATTGTGCTTCTCTTTTTGTGTCTCTGTCCTTGTCAATCTCTCCCTCTCAGTCACTCCATCTCCCTCCTGAATCTCAGATATCCGCTCTCTGTTAATTTATTTCGAAAACAGGTGGTTAGCCAGGTGGAAACGCAACAGTATACTGTAAACATCATTAAAATTTGGGGAATGGACCAAGAGTTAATGCAAGGCAACAGCTGGTCTTCCTGTCTGTGTGTGAGCTGCCCATAACTCTTTGGATGAATAATTGAGTGTGTGAGTGTTTGTCTGGAAAGCAGGCGAACGGCCTGCATTGTCTCTGTAGACCATGTGTGTATGTGTGTGTGTTTGCAGTAGCACCGCTGACCTGTGTGTTGACATGGCTTTGCTCCAGCAGGCTTTTCCATGGTGCCAGGCCTCGGCGCAGTAACAGGGTTCTGAGGTAGTGCTGGGCCGCCCGCTTTGACAGTTCCTGTTCCCGTTCTGCTCTCTTCTGTTTCTCAAGTTCCCTCTAAGTTCACATTATAAACATGATGAATACATTAACTTTTTTGCATTTTCTAGATGCACTTGCTAATGCAAAACAGTGCTACATTGTTGCCTAGTTATTCTGAGTGGTTTTTAGCATACTGCTAATCAGTTCCTAGGGCATTCTGGGTGGTTACATACTGGTATCCTGTAATGTAAATAGTCGTAACTTACAATTGTTAACTTAAAGAGCTATTTCTTATGGAAGCCTGTTTCCGACATAGAATAAAAATGATCTCACAATTCAGAGTCTGTTTCTCGCAATTTTGACTTTTTTTTCTCAGAACTGTCAGAAACAAAGTCCAAATTGAGATAAACATAGAACTGCAAGATATAAACTAGCAAGTCTGACTTTTCTCACAAGTCTGATTTTATATCTCGCAATTCTGTTCTTTGTTTCTGTCATGGAATGAAAAAAAAGGTAATTGCGACTTTTTCTCACATATCAGATTTTTCTTCTTCAGAATTGCAAATTCATATCTCACAAAAGCCTGAATTGTGAAATATAAACTCAGAATCGCAAGAATTAAGTGAGAATTTTGAGATAAAAAGTCGCAATTGCCTTTTTTATTTTTCTATTCTGTAGTGAAAATGGGCTTCCATAATTTCTGCCAGATTTAACTCATAAAAATGTGAATTGTTGGTATAAATGAATGTATTTAGATTGAATCAGTGATGTTTTAAACTTGAATAAAACCAGTTAATTTACCATTTTCTCCCTTGATAGGCTTGGGATTATTTCCACCTGTTTCATCATTCAAAAAAGCTGAAAATCATGATAACAGCTGCTTGAAAAAGTAAACACCCCTCTCCTCAATAATTTGCGCTATCACTCACATCCGTAGCATAAACAATTAACATTAACAATCCAATTATGTAAAAGTGTTTGACCACACACCTTTCTTTGCTGCCTCTTCTCTTCCTTCTTCCTCTCTATCTCCTTTAGTTTCTCCTCTTCCTCAGCTCTGAGTTTTTCCTCCTCAGCTGCCTTCATTTGAGCCTACAGAACAAAACACGGAGAGGTTTGTTTCATCACATTCACACATTTCTATTCTTAAAGAGAGGCAAGTCTTACCAGTTTCTCCTCCTGCTTTTGTCTCCTCCGCTCCTCTATCTCTCTCCTGTGCTCAGCGCGCTGCTGTGCTCGTTCCTCCATGGCTGAATGAAACATAAAAAAGGAAAGTGACAGAGAGTTGGCGGGGGACCAAGACATCAGTAAAGGGCCAGATTAAAGGGTCACTGTGAAGTTCTGCAGCATGTTCTTCTGATCTTATGGTTCTTTGGTACAAGTTTGTTTGTGTTGCCGCTCAGCGCGCTGCTGTGCTCGTTCCTCCATGGCTGAATGAAACATAAAAAAGGAAAGTGACAGAGTTGGCGGGGGACCAAGACATCAGTAAAGGGCCAGATTAAAGGGTCACTGTGAAGTTCTGCAGCATGTTCTTCTGATCTTATGGTTCTTTGGTACAAGTTTGTTTGTGTTGCTTGCATTTGTATTCAAGGCGGCGTCCCGTATCACACCGACTGATTTAACTGAAAATCTCATTGTCATTTGTAGTGTTTCACCAGTTAAGTCATGTATTGCAACCAGAATCAGATATTCACTATAGCTGGAGGCAAAAATGGCACCAAAAGTGACAAAAATGTTTTAGAATCAAGATATTTCAAATATGGGGAAAATACCCAATTATGTAGCACATTCTCGTTTTTTCTCTCAGTTTTTTGATTATTTCATATACATATATAATACACACATATATATATATATATATATATACACACACACACACACACATGTATGTATGTATATACAGTGGGTACGGAAAGTATTCAGACCCCCTTAAATTTTTCACTCTGTTATATTGCAGCCATTTGCTAAAATCATTTAAGTTAATTTTTTCCCCTCATTAATGTACACACAGCACCCCATATTGACAGAAAAACACAGAATTGTTGACATTTTTGCAGATTTATTAAAAAAGAAAAACTGAAATATCACATGGTCCTAAGTATTCAGACCCTTTGCTCAGTATTTAGTAGAAGCACCCTTTTGATCTAATACAGCCATGAGTCTTTTTGGGAAAGATGCAACAAGTTTTTCACACCTGGACTTGGGGATCCTCTGCCATTCCTCCTTGCAGAGCCTCTCCAGTTCTGGCAGGTTGGATATGTGTGTGTGTGTGTATATATATACACTGTATTATTACTATATACAGTTTTTTTTTAGTGGGGGAAAATGAATCAGTTCTGAAAAGCTGACCAATGTGAAGTTCAACAGCATGAGAAAAAAATATATAAAAAAATATATTTAATAAAAGTTGACTTTTTAATAAAAGTAGACTTCTTAATAAAGTTACGTTTTAATAAAAGTAGTGTTTTTAAGGAAAAAATTTTTTTTTTTGAAAATACAAACTCACCAATGGTGAAGCTCACCTGAATGAGAAAATTACTAAATTAAATGAGAAAAATATATTCAAAAAATTTTTTTTGCTTTTCTGGTACATTTAACCACTTTATTATCAATGTAAAAATAGCATATATGTAGTGTTTTTATACGTGGAAAATTTGTCTGTTCTGAAAATTCAAGGCTCATCAATGTGAAGCTCAACTGAAACAGAAAATTACTAAATTATATTTAAAAAAAATATTTTTAATAAAAATTGACTTTTCTTATTCATTTATTATTAATTGTATCAGTAATTTAAGAGTAGGAGGTGGAAAAACACTTGATTACACAATCAGCATGTACGACTGGCTGTGTTTGCGAAACTTGACCTTGCATTTGCTGAGGAAACATTTGGATCAGATCTGGGGTGCGTTTCCCAAAAGCAACTATGGTCGCAAGTTCCATCGTTACCAATAGATTTCAATGGAACTAACTACCATAGTTAGCTAACGATGCTTTTGGGAAACGCACCCCTGAGCAGGACATTGGCTTGTCAGTTTTTCATTGTGAGAAAAATCTAATTGGTTATTGCCAAGGCCAGGACAGTCTGCCTCACAGATTGAATGATAATATCAAAAATAGTGGATGTCATTGATGAATCTACAGGGCCTTTAACTCGGCAGGATGTTGACTCATGGGGGCTGTTAACAACCACCCGCTGACCATGTGCAAAACCTCCCTCAGATACTGCTGATTATTGAACAAATATGACTATGTATTCAATAACAATGAAGCTCAAGGTTTTAACACATGGAAGAGCCATTGTGAGGTTTTGGTATCGCTCTTGGTTTGCATAGAAATGCACAAGTGGTTTATGAGTGTATAGCGATTGTGTGCATCTGTATTCAATGCATCCAGTATCGGAGAGGATTTAAAACTAGAGCATAACCATGAAATTAATTTTCCATGCTTGGAACCACCATAGTGACAGTTTTCCAACTGCTGGATTGTGTATGTGTATGACTGACCTTGTACTGCAGGATGGGGAAGAGCTGCTGTTTGGTTGGTGTGGCTGCTGGAGTTTCCCCCCGAGGCACTCTTTGTTCTGGGATTGTGAGGAAAATGAATATCTTTGTGAAATTGTGACTAATAACAAACATTGTGTCTCCCACACGAGCACACGGATAGAACAGCTGTGGGAAGTGACCCTTTGACAAAATCTAGAGGGATTACACTGAGTACATGAAACAAGCCAGTATTACATTCTGATCCACTCTGGTGCCTAAGGTGATTTCTTATATTTATTCTGTTCTCTTCATGTGAAGAAACTGTAAAGATTTGTTTCACAAAAAATGTCAAGAAACGTCAGGGTCATATTTCACCCCATATTTGAAAGAAAAAAAAAGATATGTTTCACAAAGAAAATGATACCTACTTTAATATTTTTTTGCAACTTGTGCACATTTAAATAGTTAAATAGCAGCCTACTGTAATGCACAAAAATCTCATTCTCATCAAAGTAATGAATAAAAATAAATACTGTGCAATAAAAATAATAATATTACATTTTGTATATAACACACTACCGATCAAAAGTCTGTTTTTTTTTAATGTTTCTGAAAAATGTATCTTATGTTAACCAAAGCTGCATTTATTTGATCAAAAATAAAGTGAAAACAGACAGTGTAGGACTGAGTGTTTCAGGTGTATTAGTAACTGGTGGAGATTTTTCTGCCCCTAGTTTCCTAGAAGCTGCCGCATTGATCAAAGCAGCCATTTTCTGCCGAGTTGTTTCTTGTTGTTGGAGAAGCTCCTTGCGATGCCGTTCTACTTGACACCACACACGCCAATCACTGAGGCAGTGCCTCAAAAGCCTCCTGCGGTGACTCTCCACTGCCTGCTGACAGCGCCTGTGGGAAAGACAGATATGACTTAAAACCAGTCTGACTGCCAAGATGACTTAAAGCCTTAAATTAACCTTTAATTAAGCAATTAATATGCTCTTTTAGTCTTATCGTTTAGAGCTTTGTTTTTCTTTCAAATGTTTATCAGGCTGTTTAAGCCCTATGTTGACAGTGACAGGTTTTTCTAAATTGAGCTCTCTTGCCTGTGCTCCAGTCTTAGCTCCTCTTCAGTCCTTTCAGCCTCTTTCTCCTCTCTTCTGGCCCAGACGAGAGCCCGCCATGCCCGCCACGCTTTCAGCTGCCTCCTCCAATCACACAGCGCCGCTGCCTTCCCCATGCGCACCCTTCTTTCCAATATCACTGAGTACCATGCCGTAAAATGCCTGTGCATGCACTAAAACATATATGCATTGCAACCATTTAGAAAAAACATAAGAATGTATTGCATACAATATAATTAAACCATAATGTCTTCTAACCAGCAAACTGAGAAGGTGAACTTTGCACTTTCCACTTCTACTTCACATGATCCTTCAGAAACAATTCTAATATGCCGCTTTGGTAAGGCAACATTTTTTTTTTTTATTATCAATGGTGAAAACTGTTGTGGTTCTTAGTATTTTTGTGGAAAACGTGACATTTTTCAAGATTTTTTGATGGACAGAGAGTTAAAAAAACTGTTTATTAAACAGATTTTCATTACATGTTTTGTAACATTTTAAATGTCTTTACTGTCACTTCTGATCCATTTAATGCATCCTTGCTGAATAAGTGTGTTATTTACTGTAATATTAACATTGTATTTTTATATATAAATATATTTAAAATATATATAAATTGTAACATTAGTAAATTATATCTGAGTGTATATCACAGTACTATTCATTTTACTGCATTTAATAATGTTTTTTAAATTTAATTTTTATATGCATACAATATAATCAAACTGTAATGTCTTCTAACCTGCAAATTGAGAAGGTGAACTTTGGCTTCCAGTTTCTTCAGCTTAAGTTGAAGGTCTTTGTTCTGTTTCTTCTGTGTGGAATTATGATGTTTTGGAATGAGAGAGTTTTCAGTGGCCCTTTGTTTCTGAAGCCTTTCCCTCTCCCTGTTCAAGATGAAAAAAAATTAATAATGGTCACGCAATCATCTCTTCAAAAATCTGAATGCCATTTAAATGAGAAAATTATATAATTGCCCTAACAATTATCTGGACACTTAAACCACAATTAAATATGTATTAATGTGACTGCATTAAATAAGAAAATATCAAACCAAGTGACATTTATAAAAATAAAAAAAAACGGAAAAACATTTAGCAAAAATATGGGCCTCAAGCACTGAGAAATGTGGAAATTTATTCTCAATAAATGTATGACCAGATTATTCTAACTAGGCTACTTTTCACCAATGGTCTTGTCCTAAAACAGCAAATGAGGAAAACAAAGTTAAATACTCATGCATATATTATAGAACAACTGCAGTGGATATAGTGGGATGTTTGTGTCCCAAAGCCCCATGGTCCTTTGGTCAGGCTTGTCTATGAATAAAAAAAAAAAAAACGGAAAAACATTTAGCAAAAATATGGGCCTCAAGCACTGAGAAATGTGGAAATTTATTCTCAATAAATGTATGACCAGATTCTTCTAACTAGGCTACTTTTCACCAATGGTCTTGTCCTAAAACAGCAAATGAGGAAAACAAAGTTAAATACTCATGCATATATTATAGAACAACTGCAGTGGATATAGTGGGATGTTTGTGTCCCAAAGCCCCATGGTCCTTTGGTCAGGCTTGTCTATGAACGCTCACATGGTGATTTTTAGTTAATATATGAAGTCAGTTCCCCTAACTGACTTCATATATTAACTAAAAATCACCTTGTGAGCGGTAAAGATGCCAAGTGAAGTTAGTTGTGAAAAAAAAAAAAAAAAGGTTTAGCATCATTTGTTAGCTTTTATTTTGACATTCATAAATTTTTAATTGTGGCTAGAGTGCCCAAATACTTTTGTGGTTGTTGTACATGTTTCGTGCAAGCTGCTCCACACTCCTCTTCTCCTCCATCTCTCTGCGTAGGCGAATCATCTCCTGCTGAATCAGTTCTTCTTGTCTGCGTGCCTCCTGCCGCTTCTTTCGCTGCTTCTCCTTTTCCAGTTGCCATGCCTCCTCTCGCGCCTCCCTTAGCGCTTCCTTTTCTTTTTGCAGTTTGTCACGTTCAGCGTCTCTGCGCGTGCGGTTCTCCTTTACCTGCTTGTGACGCACCTCCATGGTAATACTAGGGTCCCTCCATCTCTTCTTATTCTGATTAGAGTTTACTTTAAGGTCCTCCACTATCCCCATGTCCAAAACCTCGGTTTCCATCAGGTCCTGGAGGAAATTGTGCACTACAGAGTTCTCCTCTTCCTGTGCTAGGTGAAAGTACATGTCTAATAAAAAAAGACAAACTCCGGATTAGATCAGTTTTGTTAATGTTAACTAAAACAAATCGAAAAGTAATACATTATTATTAACTATTAAAAATGTTTTTGGTAACTGAAATAAAGCTAAAATAAAATATAAATATTAAATATTAGAAAGAAAAAAAAAATCAAATATTCCTTTGTTTCATTTGTACCATCAAAGTTATTATAGCTGGATTGTGTGGTTTTAACAAGTTGTTTGGATTCTTCCATCTCCTCTTCCTCCTCGTCATCGCCCATTTCAAGCTCCAGACGTAACTTCTGGTTCATCCATTCACTTAGAATGGACTGAGCTGTGGAATACAAGTGAAACTGTGGAATACTGATTACAAAAACCTGCACATACATTAAGTGCTGAATATTAATTGGTTAAAGATTACCTTCACTGTACGCATCATCATGATCCTGTAGCTGCTCTACAGTCTGCAGCGTCATACTGTTTTTACCACCACATGGTTTCTTGATGGAAAACACCTCAGCTACAGCAAACTCTGAAGCCTTCTCCACCCTCTGAGAAGAATGAAACAGAAATAAAATGATATACATAAACACAGACCATGCATCCCTTGTAAAAAAAAAAACACACATTTCGAACACTTTCGGAATGTTAACTGCAAATAATAAATAATAAAATATTATGGAATGCCCTTTTAAAAAGTGTACTTATGTGTGTTAAGAAACAGTCAAGCAAGTGTACTATATTTAAGCACACTTAAGTGATTATTATATTATTTGCAAGTACGCTACAAGTGCACATTCAATACAATTAAGCGCACTTCTTATTCACAAGCAATTTCATACATATGCATTAATTTTCTGCATGACATGAATTCAAATGATTGAAATGTACTTACCTTCACCCACTGCTTTATGTCATTCTCATTCAGCTGCACCTGCAATATGAGATATGAATTCAGCTCTGCTCATTGGTTCAATTCAAAGTAGACTGAGACTTTAAAATGTATTACCAGCTTCTCTAAAGTTATAAGCTGATCATTGGGTTAAACCAAGAGTCTTCCAACCTTGTTAATGCCTGAACTTGACATAAACTGATATGAATATTTAGTCACACTGGCCTCACACATCTAATCCCTGGATAAATATCCAGTGTTACCTTAAACTGGCTCTTTTGTAGATACACCCGAAGGGGTTTTCTTTGCACATTTGAGATAAATCCTTCTGCTGAGCCACAAATCTATTCATTACTAATAACCAATGTGCATGACCAAAGATAACCTGAATGTGACATTTATTTAGATTAGTTAACGTACCTCTGGCTGAATATTGTAAAAAAAAAAAAAATAAGGGAAACGAAGAAAAACACTATTCCGAAGCTAAATCTTTGAAGAACTGAGTGAGAAAAGAGAAAGCAGGTTTTACTTGCCTTATTATTACTGCCTGGCGTTTTAGTCTTCGTCGTTTTCCAACGAAAAATATCCGGTCTGTGCGTGGGATATGCCATGGTCGCTCGTAGGCTACATGAGCATGCATTTGGATTGCAAGCTTATATAATATATTTTTACATGTTCGCAAAGTGTATGTAGCAGCAATTTACAGTATAGGACAGGTTATACCAAATTTAGTGAGAAACTTTTCGCCCAGCAATGGAATTGTGGTATTTGTAGTTTACACAAAGTGACGTAGCATAAGTTGGCGCCTAAAAAGAACTACATATCCCAATAAGAACTGACGCGAGCTGAAGCATCAACTTCGAAACCATGGAGACGGTTGTTACCATAGATATGTAACTTATATCGTCCTGACTACCAGCTATGGAGTTTTGTCCACTGTAGAGGACATTATGTTTGAGCGATTTCTCTGAGACGTTACATGTCACCGTTTTAAATCTGGATGTCCGAGATACCAAATGATTGGATGTTTCACCATGACCACTCCCTCTCTTTGGTCTTTAAAAATGGCTGACATTCAAATTGTTTGTCATAAATCAACATCTCGGGAAAATGTTATGGGGTTTCAAATCAAAATATGACCTTCTGTTATGAAACAGGACATCAATTTCATACATGTCCACTGTAGAGGACACCAGGACTTAAAGCATGTTTATTACACATTTTGGGAGACACAACAAATGAATAGAGAAAAAATTAAATATTAGAAATTATTAAGAAAACTTGCTAATTATTACTCCCATTATTGCACTTATTTGTTCATTCTATGTTGCCCCAAAAACACATTAATATGCAAATTAGATACAGTTTATAGGTACATTGTATATAATGGAAAAACTCGTTTATGGCCATTTTACACACATTCTGCATAAAGAAAAAATGTTTTTTAAAAATATCTTTCATAGCATAGTTGAGAATCATCTTTATATAAAGTTTGGTATATTTTGGTAAAATTGATTTCTGGTTAAAACAAAAATCCCACTCGTTTTGCCTTTTCATGTCTATTCATGTCTTTTTATTTTTTTAAAAACAGGACTTTTTAAAGTCCCGATGTCCTCTACAGAGGACATGGCATAACATATGAATAAAATTGAATTTTTCAAAAATTTTGTTTTTCAAAATTGTTCCTACACTCTAAACCAGGGCTGTCCAAACTCGGTCCTGGAGGGCCGGTGTCCTGCAGAGTTTAGCTCCAACTTGCCTCAACACACCTGACTGGAAGTTTCTATGCCTAGTAAGAGCTTGATTAGCTAGTTCAGGTGTGTTTAATTAGGGTTGGAGCTAAACTTGCAGGACACCGGCCCTCCAGGACCGAGTTTGGACAGCCCTGCTCTAAACAATGTAATGACTTGACAAAATACTAAATTCACAATTTTTTTCCTGGTAGTCAGGAGGATATCTCTATTATAGATCAGTGGTTATTGCACCGACGATCCTACCAGCTCTTGTGTGGTGATAGTTGATCTTAAAGGCGAACTATTAAGCTAAATGCATTTATTTCAGATCCTGATAATTGTGTTTATTTAGTCGAGATACTTAAGCGTAGCAATACCACTTGTTGTTCGTTTCAACTTCAGTTTAAAAAGAACATTAAGGCCTTTCTCTATAAAAACAACTCATTTTAAAATCACATACATTGTTAATAATTATTGGTTGTTTTTTTTCCGTTTTTTTACTACAATAAACACTATAAAGGTATCAAATATCCAATAAGCTGACAAATAAATTATCATTGCAATTTTTATTAATTGGTAACAAATTTCATTTCACCTTTTGGTTTAACTTTAAAATATAGACGTTAAAATGAATTCATGTTTTATAAGTGCTTATTGGCAAACAAAAAGGTGAAATGAAATTTGTTACCAATTAATAAAAATTGCAATGTTAAACATCCTGTCAAGAGAGCGCAGCTGTAAGCTCTACATCAAACAGCTTTGAATGGTCAAACACAAAAGAAGATATTTTAGAAATGTCACAGTGGTATTTGTTTTCTTTGTCCTTACAATGGAAGCCAATGGGTACCAACATTTTTTGGTTGCCAACATTGATATTTTGAAGATATTAAAAAAACGGCTTTCTGAATATGTCAGCTGCTGATCAAACAAGCAGATTGTAAGTTTATCATATTATATAATTTATATTATACTACAGTCTTATACATTAGAATTTATATCTTATACAGTATAGTAGCCTATATTTATAAATTCATAGGCTATTTAGAGATTCACAGTTAACTTTTTGGTAGCCTTGTATTTTAGGCTAATTATTCATAGCAAATAACAAATCCAGTGAGACACATATAATATAAAATGAAGACAACAGTTTTTTTTTGCATACAAAAAGCCCACTGACAGAAGTAAGGTAGAAATGTCCTGGAGCAGTCACCCCAAAGGATGATTAAAATGTTTTTTATTTTTGATTATACATACAATCATATTAATATATGCACAAACACAATATAAATATGAAATACTTACAAATATTCAATGAAACACTACATAAATGCTTTCAGCCACCTGGTCCCGGCAGCTGGTCTCTGATTTTATGTCAAATAAAATAATTATGTAACTTTCAAAATTAAAGAGCGATTCTTAGAGAAAATCTAAAGACACATTGCTTCTACCATTTCAATATGAGGGAGGGGTTTATGAATTGAATATATATATTATCTTTATTTGAAGAGTTCAGATGCAAAACCCTCTAAGTGCCGTCTGAAATTTTCTTCTAAAATTCTCATTTTTATCAGGCTCCTATATTTAGGTTCAGTAATCTTACTTTAATGGCAATGTATAGGTTATTTTCTATGCTATTAAAGTGAAAAAACTGAACATAAATATATGAGCCTGATAAAAATGGTAATTTTAGATGAAAATTTCAGACGGCACTTAGAGGCTTTTGCATCTGAACTCTTCATTTATTATTGCATTATGAACTATAGCTAAAATTCAATAAGTTTTAATATTTAGTTAACTGTACTAACCTTGATCTGAATGCACCCTGGTGTACAAGTGCTTTTTCGGTAAGCACAGAATACAGTAAACCATCTACAAAAGAAAACCTTACTTAAATAATTAAATTGCATTAAACAACAAATAATGCAGTCATATGTAGCCTACATAAAAATCCAATACCCAGCTCTGCGCTCAGTGCGCTGTAGAAACCTTATGACGTCGTAAATGTGAGACCCGAGTCAAAGCGCTACGAACTATTTCTGCGACCTGAAGTTACCACACGTCCTGCTTTCTGAGGCAGCTAACATTGAGAAGATTTCTGATCGAATATGGCTTTTTTTTTTTTTCACTGCAAGTTTTCGCGGCGTACTGTGCTCGTTGTGTAGTAAACTCTGCTTTCCGTTATAAAGTAGGTAAATTCAGCTTTTTTTTTTTTCACTGCAAGTTTTCGCGGCGTACTGTGCTCATTGTGTAGTAAACTCTGCTTTCCGTTATAAAGTAGGTAAATTCAGGTTGGTAAACTCTCTCTGTCTTCTCTTTCATTCATAAGTGCATGTGTGCATCTCAAACACTTTCCCTCTGGAAAATGAGAGAATGAAGAGATTGAATGTTGTTTTTGCAGGTGACGAGCTGTCATTTCCTCTAGATCTGAGAAACATTCACATTAGGAGGCTACAGCTCCACAAGTGGGATGAAACTGGAACTGTCTCGAGTGGTACAGGGATGTCGCCTGGGACTTTTGACTGGACTGGGGAAATCAGGGCAGCATTCACTGGAGGTGCCCGGCTGTCTCCTGTACACTCGCTGCGCAACTGTTCCTCATCTGACCCAGGACACTTTACACACTTTGAGAGACCTGCCATCAGTCACTCAGGTGTCAGTGGATAGCCTGTAAGAATATTATTATACTTCAGTGTTTCCCCTGCCATTATTTTAGGGGGGCACCCCCCGCCCCCCTTGAAGGTCAAGTTAATTTTATTTAATTATATTTTAAGTAAAACTATCCTCATATCATACACACACAGAAAAAAGGTGAGTGGGGGTTCAATCTTCAACTGGCTGGCAGGAGCCGCCACTGACAGGTCACGTGACCTGCCACTGGCAGCTGCCACCAACCACTGACAGGTCACTGGCAGCTGCCACCAGCCACTGGCAGCTGCCAGAATCAGACTGGCAGCTGCCACCAGCCACTGGCAGCTGCCAGAATCAGACTGGCAGCTGCCACCAGCCACTGGCAGCTGCCAGAATCAGACTGGCAGCTGCCACCAGCCACTGGCAGCTGCCAGAATCAGACTGGCAGCTGCCACCAGCCACTGGCAGCTGCCAGAATCAGACTGGCAGCTGCCACCAGCCACTGGCAGCTGCCAGAATCAGACTGGCAGCTGCCACCAGCCACTGGCAGCTGCCAGAATCAGACTGGCAGCTGCCACCAGCCACTGGCAGCTGCCAGAATCAGACTGGCAGCTGCCACCAGCCACTGGCAGCTGCCAGAATCAGACTGGCAGCTGCCACCAGCCACTGGCAGCTGCCAGAATCAGACTGGCAGCTGCCACCAGCCACTGGCAGCTGCCAGAATCAGACTGGCAGCTGCCACCAGCCACTGGCAGCTGCCAGAATCAGACTGGCAGCTGCCACCAGCCACTGGCAGCTGCCAGAATCAGACTGGCAGCTGCCACCAGCCACTGGCAGCTGCCAGAATCAGACTGGCAGCTGCCACCAGCCACTGGCAGCTGCCAGAATCAGACTGGCAGCTGCCACCAGCCACTGGCAGCTGCCAGAATCAGACTGGCAGCTGCCACCAGCCACTGGCAGCTGCCAGAATCAGACTGGCAGCTGCCACCAGCCACTGGCAGCTGCCAGAATCAGACTGGCAGCTGCCACCAGCCACTGGCAGCTGCCAGAATCAGACTGGCAGCTGCCACCAGCCACTGGCAGCTGCCAGAATCAGACTGGCAGCTGCCACCAGCCACTGGCAGCTGCCAGAATCAGACTGGCAGCTGCCACCAGCCACTGGCAGCTGCCAGAATCAGACTGGCAGCTGCCACCAGCCACTGGCAGCTGCCAGAATCAGACTGGCAGCTGCCACCAGCCACTGGCAGCTGCCAGAATCAGACTGGCAGCTGCCACCAGCCACTGGCAGCTGCCAGAATCAGACTGGCAGCTGCCACCAGCCACTGGCAGCTGCCAGAATCAGACTGGCAGCTGCCACCAGCCACTGGCAGCTGCCAGAATCAGACTGGCAGCTGCCACCAGCCACTGGCAGCTGCCAGAATCAGACTGGCAGCTGCCACCAGCCACTGGCAGCTGCCAGAATCAGACTGGCAGCTGCCACCAGCCACTGGCAGCTGCCAGAATCAGACTGGCAGCTGCCACCAGCCACTGGCAGCTGCCAGAATCAGACTGGCAGCTGCCACCAGCCACTGGCAGCTGCCAGAATCAGACTGGCAGCTGCCACCAGCCACTGGCAGCTGCCAGAATCAGACTGGCAGCTGCCACCAGCCACTGGCAGCTGCCAGAATCAGACTGGCAGCTGCCACCAGCCACTGGCAGCTGCCAGAATCAGACTGGCAGCTGCCACCAGCCACTGGCAGCTGCCAGAATCAGACTGGCAGCTGCCACCAGCCACTGGCAGCTGCCAGAATCAGACTGGCAGCTGCCACCAGCCACTGGCAGCTGCCAGAATCAGACTGGCAGCTGCCACCAGCCACTGGCAGCTGCCAGAATCAGACTGGCAGCTGCCACCAGCCACTGGCAGCTGCCAGAATCAGACTGGCAGCTGCCACCAGCCACTGGCAGCTGCCAGAATCAGACTGGCAGCTGCCACCAGCCACTGGCAGCTGCCAGAATCAGACTGGCAGCTGCCACCAGCCACTGGCAGCTGCCAGAATCAGACTGGCAGCTGCCACCAGCCACTGGCAGCTGCCAGAATCAGACTGGCAGCTGCCACCAGCCACTGGCAGCTGCCAGAATCAGACTGGCAGCTGCCACCAGCCACTGGCAGCTGCCAGAATCAGACTGGCAGCTGCCACCAGCCACTGGCAGCTGCCAGAATCAGACTGGCAGCTGCCACCAGCCACTGGCAGCTGCCAGAATCAGACTGGCAGCTGCCACCAGCCACTGGCAGCTGCCAGAATCAGACTGGCAGCTGCCACCAGCCACTGGCAGCTGCCAGAATCAGACTGGCAGCTGCCACCAGCCACTGGCAGCTGCCAGAATCAGACTGGCAGCTGCCACCAGCCACTGGCAGCTGCCAGAATCAGACTGGCAGCTGCCACCAGCCACTGGCAGCTGCCAGAATCAGACTGGCAGCTGCCACCAGCCACTGGCAGCTGCCAGAATCAGACTGGCAGCTGCCACCAGCCACTGGCAGCTGCCAGAATCAGACTGGCAGCTGCCACCAGCCACTGGCAGCTGCCAGAATCAGACTGGCAGCTGCCACCAGCCACTGGCAGCTGCCAGAATCAGACTGGCAGCTGCCACCAGCCACTGGCAGCTGCCAGAATCAGACTGGCAGCTGCCACCAGCCACTGGCAGCTGCCAGAATCAGACTGGCAGCTGCCACCAGCCACTGGCAGCTGCCAGAATCAGACTGGCAGCTGCCACCAGCCACTGGCAGCTGCCAGAATCAGACTGGCAGCTGCCACCAGCCACTGGCAGCTGCCAGAATCAGACTGGCAGCTGCCACCAGCCACTGGCAGCTGCCAGAATCAGACTGGCAGCTGCCACCAGCCACTGGCAGCTGCCAGAATCAGACTGGCAGCTGCCACCAGCCACTGGCAGCTGCCAGAATCAGACTGGCAGCTGCCACCAGCCACTGGCAGCTGCCAGAATCAGACTGGCAGCTGCCACCAGCCACTGGCAGCTGCCAGAATCAGACTGGCAGCTGCCACCAGCCACTGGCAGCTGCCAGAATCAGACTGGCAGCTGCCACCAGCCACTGGCAGCTGCCAGAATCAGACTGGCAGCTGCCACCAGCCACTGGCAGCTGCCAGAATCAGACTGGCAGCTGCCACCAGCCACTGGCAGGTCACATGACCTGTCAGTGGCAGGTCCTGCCAGCCAGTTGAAGATTGAACCCCTACTGGAGTAGGTATACACGGCAACCCGTCAAAATAAAAGTTCGGTTTAACTTGAGGGCATTGCAGCAGAAATATATTACGATTGTTGAGTAGAATGAACGTAACAGACTGCTACTACTACTACTAAAATTATTAAACCCTTATTTTTAAGGAATAAGCATTCAATATTTTTTCATTGTTTTAATTGTAATATTAAATGACCTTTATTTTCCAAAAAACTAAATTTGTTTAATTTTCATTACTTAAAAGATAGATTAAATTAATGTTTTATGCCTTAAAACAAAATGTAAGTACACAACACAGAATTTCTGAGCAAAAAAATCATAAGGCTATTGTAAGAATAAATGAAACTTGTTTTATGCTTTCAAATTAGACATGCTAAAACAGAATTTGGTTACAATAAAACATAAGGTTGGACAAATAAAACATTTCATAGGGCCCTAAACGTAATATTTGTTAAACTTTTAATAAATTCATGTTAAATTGTTTAAGTTTCATGATTTTAATTAATTAGACATGCTTTTTGATGAATAAAAAAAGCCGTAAACCTAGGGGAAACACTGTACTTATATATTAAATTATAAATTCAGTTTATACATTCAGTTAATATTTGGCCAACAGTGTTTCTAACCAAACATGTGGGTCTGTAAAATGGCATAACTTGCTGACAGATCTCAGTTCACAAAATTTGATGATGTGTCAGTTTTCACAGCATTCACAGTGGATATTAAAGACAGATGTTATGTTGCAAAATATTTTTATTTCAAATAAATACTGTTCTTTTGAACTTTCATGTGACACTGAAAACTGGAGTAATGGCTGTTGAAAACTGAATTTGCATCACTGGAAAAAAAATAACATTTTAAAATATATTAAAATAGAAAAGAGTTAATTAAAATTGTAATAAAATTTCAAAAACATTTATGTTTTTACTGTATTTTTGGTCAAATAAATGCAGCCTTGATACTTATTTTAAAAACATTAAAAAAAACTCTTGACCAGTAGTGGAAATAAAAAATAAAATTATTAAAGTATTATTAGGGATGAATCTCGCATTAATTTCAGCAAAAAAAATTCATGTTGGAAAAGGTTTGATTTAGCACTCTTTCTTTTTCAGTGCAGAGCATCATGAGGTTCTTAAGGAATTCAAAGAGGGTGTCAGAAAGTTTTCAGGTTAGCATTTCACTCTTTTACTAACTTTTTGTTATTTGCTTTCTTGGTTAAAAATGTCTTCAGACATTTGTTCTTGCAGATTGCTGTTCTAAATTAAAGGATTTGGACGATGACTGGTGCTCTTTTATATGTTAATGACATTAATTAGGAGTCGTTTACAAGGCAGAGAGCTGAAACCATTCAGTTACGCGCAAGTTCAAGATCACTTGCGATTCATAGATTTCACATCTGAAAGAGAGGCATGCGTGTGTTTTCTGTGCGTACGTTTATTCTATTAATCACTGGACCATATTTGAGAGATGATCGTAAAAAAGATTACATTTAGGATGGTTTCTGCGCAACATTTTATAAATGAGGCCCCAAGATGTCTGTTCCCATGCATGCCTTTTTCTCTGTTTTCTCCAATCATATAGCATACTGGTTTAAACAAAGAGTTTCTAAAAAAGTTTGGAGCTTTTGTGGCACCATCAGCTAGTCCCACTGTTGTCATTTCCTGTAATTTTCCTGCGGTTTTAACGTAAGTAGTCACATGGCATTTACAGCTCAGGTGATTGATGCAAAAAGTTTTGTGGTCCTTAGCCAAATATGGCAGACTTAAATCAATTAATTCAAGTCCAGCAACTGCTATTGAGATGAAATGCTAACAGATTCTACTCAAAAAACATACTGTCACTGGTATTGTTCAAGATCATTGGAAAGTCAGTCCTTGAAAAGATCATCTTTGTTGCTTTTCTGCTATTTTCAAAAGCATTGTAAGTCATTTCTATCCAGCAGTGTGGGTGTAAACATTTTCTCAGTTGGCTAATAGATCTAGAAGCAGTTCACACAGTTTGAAAATTCACACATCAAGTGGATTATAAATGGCCAAAGAGGTTCTGGAGCTGAGACTGTGGAAGAAAGTATTACACTTTTGAAGATGATCCCAATTTAAAAATAAATGTAATTGTCTATAGGCTGATCCTGCACAAGCTTTGAGACTTGAAGGACTTGATCAAATTATCTGTCTTTTGCTTGCAGTACTAGAAATTTTGAATAGTTAAACTGTTCTTGAAGGTGACAGCAAAACTTCAAAAATAAATAAACTTGAAACTTGACATTTTTAGTTCTGAAGGCATGTTTTCAGATTCTCTCCCTCCCTCGCTGACTACTAAGTGACTGTTTAGAAATAATTAGGCATTCATGCTTGGATGCATAGGCGCAGATGCATTTTCTTAAAATGAGTTTTCAGTTTTCATTTTGCAACCGTAACGAAAAGAAGGGCACTGTTTCAGTCGTTGCCTTCAGCAATCCAACCAGAAATGAGAAAGGTAATTGCATTCACGATATTAAGATGTGTGACCGTGAAGACATTTGAAAGGGTGACTTGAGGCGGCTGCTAGCTCTCCATTTGGATAATTACAAAAAGAAAATTATTGTACATGATAATGTTGGTCACTGAAGTTCACCTCCGTCATTTCCATACAATACCGCCAAATTTAGATTCCTCTTCATGTTCATATCATTCATGTTCACGTTTGTCTAATCTACAGTTGGGAATTAGTTAGTATAAGCTATTCAAATGTACACTTTCGCCATCGACGAAACTCATCAGTGCCCCAATTTGTCCTAATCTCCATATAAATGCATTTTTATATCTTCAGAATGATGAGTTGAGCTCTTGGTTGTTTATTTCGCCAGTAAACAGTTTTGTAATAATGAACAAGTGTTCTGCCTGATTGCATTGAACTGTTCTTATGCATTCTATTGCTGTTGAGGATTTAGTAAATGGATGAATAATACAAGTGTATTTTGCAGTTCGTCATATGTTGTGTTTGCACTATTTATAGCTTTAACATTTCAAGTCATTGAAACTGGTGTTAAAAAGTTTTAAATTTGTATGCAAGATGTCTGTTTTGATTAGAAGTAGCTTGAGTTGTAGACGGTAGATGTCTGATAAGCTATTTCTCTGACGTGCTGATGGTTTCCTACGCAGGTCTTCATGATACTGTGCTTTTCTGCTCTCTGCATGATTCTGCGAACTCCAGCCCCGCCGGTCACGTCACCAACAAGGTTAGAGAACTGTGTCGAATGGTTGTTTTCAGCCTCTTTTGTCACTGAGACTGACTCAGATTCCATTAAATCATTACAAATAGTCAATTTAGTAAAATCTCATTGGTTTTCAACTGATGCGGTTTGGCTTACAGAGAGCTTTTGTGTCTTTTGAAGCTATGCCATCCCTTTACTGTTAATTGTGAGGGAATTAATGGTTGTGTGTGATTTAACAGACAGTGTCGGTGTGGGGCAGTGGTGGAAGGATAGAGCTGACAGTGGCTCGGTTCATAGCGATTCAGGCAGCTATCCAGCCGGACTGCTATCAGAGCATGGCAGACGGAGAGACCTGGCAGGCTGGTACCTCTCGCAAGAGAGTCCGTAAAGCAGTGGACAGGACTCTGGCCCATCTGGATGAATGTCTGGCGTTGCACCAGAAAACTCAGGTTACTACACAAAAACACAGACTCAGTACTGGAATACTTGTTAGTGACTGCAGGATATATTTCCCTTAAAAATGACAAATGGTCATATTTTATACTATTCAGGGCTCGACTGCCAGGAAGAACAGCAGAATAAAGACTTTATACAAAAAGATTCTTCTAAACTGAATCTGTCTTTATTTTAAATTCTGAGATTTTATGACAAACTTAGATTTTAACATAGGAGAGTGGGGTGAGTTGAGCCAGTTTTTACTCGCAGTGTGTTTAAAGTGAGCACATAAGTTATAACAGTAGCTATGTTTCTGTCACCCTGTTTTAGTGTGCATTTTGAAGTATCGCATCAGAAACGATTGATGGAAACACCAAATTCCGGGAAAAAAAAAAAAAAAACTTCATTTGCAAAAAAAAGTTTTTACGCTCAATTGAGTTGGTTTTTGTCTTGTCGAGAAAGGGTTAATGCAAATAATGGGAGATGGAAACAGATTTGCTGAATAAATTCCTCCATGCGCATCAAAAAAAAGTCATGTGACTTTGCGCGATGGGACGGCATAACCTGACTAGCCAGTGGACTGATCTCATTGCACAGCATCTGAAATGTTGTTAAGGTCTTTCTGCCCGAGCAAAGTCTGACTTGACTGCGTTCCCGAACAGCAGGCTTCCTCATTCATTATGTTTCATCTGCTCACACAAGTCAGTTATTATATATGAAAATTATTACATTCAGTGGCTTCTCCCACTTTTCTTTTTGATATTTAGTGCCAGTTTATCAGGAAGTAACAGTTTTGTTCTCTTTGACACGTCAGATGGAAACAGTGCTTATTCGCAAATTCAGTTTAATTCAAGTTCATTCACAACTTCGTTGCAAAGCAGCCTTACAGAAAATGTTAAGTTTCTACATTATATTTAGGAGTGGGTTATTAGTGGTGACTATGGCAGAAATGTACAGTAAGAATCATGCAGTTAGTTCAAACAGACAGTGAACACTATTAACTGCAATTATCGTTAATAGTATTTAACTTTTAGTAATTGACTAAAATTAACTAACGTTTAGTAATTAACGTGCCGCAGCCCGGCTCCTCAAAGGGAAGCGTAAAAGTGATCACATCACACCGGTTCTGATTTCGCTACATTGGTTACCAGTCAAATACAGAATTGATTTCAAAATTTTGTTATTTGTTTTTAAGTCTTTGCGGAACCAGGCACCACAGTACTTATCTACTGCATCCGCTTTCTCAGTCTAGATCTCTTAGGTCTAGGGACTTTAATTACCATATGTTCCTAGAACCAGACTTAAAAACAGGGGTGAACTCTAAAAACTCTACCTCCTTTAGTGGAAAAAAATATACATAATATAAAAAATTATTAAAAAAATAAATCTTTCAAGTAAAATGCTAATTTTGCCTTAATGTCTTTTTGCAAAAACAAATATATTTTTTTCTGTTTTGTACTATGTATTGTTTTATAGCATTTTAATTACAATTTTTTGTTGGCCTTGATGGGTAAAATATGCAAATATATCCTCTGGTGCTCTTCAGTCACTTTTGACCGAAAGATTTTCTGTTTTGAATTTTTTTTAAATCACAGCTTCATCGGAATTGTACGAAACTTGGTGACATTTATGGCATTTGGAATGTGAATACACAAAAAAATTGAGGGCTTGATTCGAGCAGGCTAAGTGGTCGTAAAAAAAATAGTCACACTTGTGGTCTTCAGTCAAAAATGACAGACCCATTTTTTCATAACACACACTCACAGACACACACACACACAAACATACACAATTATACACACTCAAATGAATTGGTATGGCTATAACCATATAAACAAAACGAGTCAGAAAACTGAAATAAGAGGTTGAAATCAGATAAGACCCAGAAGGATTAAGCGCTGATAAAACATTTCTGTTACAATTATTATTATTTTTTTTTAACAAAATGCGTTCTCTTTGTTCAGGTTTGACTGTAGTATAATAGTTAAAAAACTGACGCTTCAAATCAAGATTTCAAACCCCAAAAAAATCTAAACCTTAAAAAAAAAATTGTCTTTGAGAATGTCTAAATATATATATTCAAACCCTCAACTTAATTATAAAAAAGTATTTATGTCTAAAAACAATTAGATAATTTATAGGCTTTTTATATAAAGCTATATAGGAATCTATGGGCTAAACCATGGAATTGCAGAGGTTTTTCTTATTTTACTCTCACCAGATGGCACTAATCTGGCTTCAAAAATTTGATTTTAAAGGCATTGACTCTATTTTAACATGAAATTCTGCATTCATTGAAAAGTAATATAAAAATGTATATATTTTTAAAATTGCATTATTTTCAATGGGCAGAAATTTATCATAATTATTGCATAAATATTAATTAGTGCCATGAAATTATCAAAATACAAAAGATAAAATATTATTGAACAAAAATATATTACATTGATTTTACTGGGGCGAAAAAAAGTTAAATTTTAGGTGTCAGGTCACTTTTGACCGTGAAGATCACAAGTGTGACACCCAAATAAGGAGCACCAAAGGGTTAAATAAATAAATATAAATGTACAGTTTTTTTACAGGAATTAAAAAAGGCAGAGATATTTGGAGTTGTGGAGGGTGGAGACATTTTGGAGGAGAGGCTCCGGTCAGCACGGGAGACTGCCAAGCGTCCTGTGGGCGGATTTGTCCTGGATGGATTTCATTCTGCTGCCATGGACCAGGATGTGAGGGTTCAGTTGATTAAAGCGACATCTGCAGAGCTTCCCCAAGAAAAACCCAGGTAAAAAAGGCATCTATTTAAATTTCTGCCTCTCAGGCTCAGACGTTTCTTCAGTCGGAGATTGAGTGGCTAGATCTTCCCCAACTTATTACTCTCTGATTATGCACCTCGATTTTCAGCAGCCATAGCAACACTCCATTCCACCAGCAGCCCATAGCAACCACCTCATCCCTTCCAGGAAACTGGAAAAGGTTTCAGGAACAGACTTCATCTTGAGTTCCTTGTGGTGTAATGATTGATTTCTCTGATCTCCCTCTCTTTGAGGTTGACTAGGAGGTTACAGAATCACACAGACAATGGCAAGAAGTAAAGCAGTGTGGATTTGGAAGTGTCCTTGTGGCACAGCGGGGTCTTAAGAGGGATGCTTCCCGCTGGGCTTTATAGTCTTGTTAGAAACCGACATTTCCCTTGGGTGTATCTCGGGTCACAAATAACTGGAGCTGGAGAAGGTTGTGAGGCAGACGGGCTGAAGGACAGGATATATAATTTAGTTTTAGAGCAGGACAAGATGTTTCTGTGCTGCAGTATTTATGCTTTTATTTCACTGTATTTTCACACTGTTATGTTTTGTTCAAATGTTTTGAAAATAATTTTTTTCAGCAATGATGCATTAAATTCATTGAAAGTGACAGCCTAGGGATGTTCATTTTAACCGGTTAACTGTTAACCGACCGTAAGAAATTTGACCGATTAATACAATCAGTTAAACGGTTTAACTGTAAAGTCATTTATTTATTTATTTTTTAGTAATTTATCAAAATATTTAAAAAAGTTTGCTGCATGGTTAAAAACTTCTTTTAGTCATAAAGATAATCAGAATTGTAAAAGGTTTGCCTTTATTTGTGTACATTCACAATAAAAACAATGAGCGTCAGTTGTCGGTTAGAAAAAAATCACCGAAGTGACACAAAAATTTTTTAGAATCTTATAAAAGATTTCTGTTTCAAATAAATGCTGTTATTTTGAACTTTCTATTCATAAAAGAATAATGGTTTCCACAAAAATATTAAACGGGACAACTGTTATCAATATTGATAAGAAATATTTCTTGAGCAGCAAATCAGCATATTAAAATGATTTCCGAAGGATCATGTAACACTGAAGACTGGAGTAATGAAAATTCAGCTTCGCATCGCAACACAGGAACAAATTATATATTAAAAAATAAAAATTATTTTAAATTAATAACTATTTCACAATATTACATTAAATTAGCCTAGTTGAACATGAGACCTCTTTAAAAAACATAAAGTACCACCCCCCAACATATGAATGTGTGTGTCTGTTTGTACATGTCAGAATCTGCTAGTGCTCCTCATTTTGCTTTGTGCAACTATCCAAACTTCTAACCTTAAAAACAGTTTGTATTTGTTGATCTGTTTGAGATAGCTTTTGGATTTCCATTGAAACGCAGTATAGAGACTGCACAAAAAAACTGCAGATTCACTGGTTTTGTATTAATACTTAATGATTTACCCTGGGCTGAACTTGGATTTGATTTATCTCTGGGGTTGACTATAATCTGTCTTACTGAGGTACAGAAAAGTATTCCCAAACCAATAGAAAAAAATGTGAGATCTAAAGCCTTAGAATTACCTGTTACAGCTGAAGTAATTTATTCAATGTTTAAATACGTTTTCCTATCTTAACTTTACATGTAGAGACAACTATGACCTTTAATTAACCTTTATAGTTAACCTTTAATTAATAATAACTCCCATTAAGGCAAAAAAACAAAACATTGCATATTGTATTTTAAGCCTGAACATGCAGTGCATTGACATTGAGCTTTTACCATCTGTGTCAGGTTGGTGCTGGGGGTTGGCCGTCCTGATGAGGTCATCAGCTGTGTTGAAGCAGGAGTCGACCTGTTTGAGAGCTTCTTCCCCTTCCAGGTGACGGAGCGAGGCTGTGCGCTCTCCTTTAACTACACCATTGATCCCGACCCTGAGACGGCAGGTACATCAACCCCTACAGGTGTGCAGAAGCCCATAGCTATACTATTGAAAAGATACAGGTTTCCTACACTTTCTTAACCCTATATAAAACCTACTGTATCATATTTGATATACTAATTTTCTCATTTCAACATTTGCAGAAAATAACTATTGGACACAATCTGCTACATACCTTTTGTCATTTAATTGATAGTTAATACTTTTTTTAGCAAGTGAAAGGCCTTTTAGTATAAGTATTAAACTGTTCATCTTCATCTCATGGTACATGTGTCTATTTGCTGTTATTTTTATAAAGTAAATATAATAACTTTAAATTGTTATTAATATTTTTAGATGAACATACTGAACTGAAAGAACTGTAACTTAACTTGATTATCCATACATAATTTTTAAACAATCATGTTTAAAAATGTAAGCATCAAATATGATACATTAGGCTTTTGATGAATAATCATTAGTACGTCTTAATCAGCATTGTATTGCATAGCATTATATGTTTTCCACCACAATAAAAGCGAGAGATCATAAAACTAAGCATTCAAATATCATCATAATAATATATATATATATATATTGACAACTAATATTTATTTTTATTCATTTTATGTAAGTAGTGGTATAATGTAAAAAAAGATTTGTTGATTTACATTATGGGCTATCAGAATTCCATCATTCTTTTGGCCATATAAATATCAGGTTTTTTTTTTCTCCTTGAGTGTGAACTCCATATTCTCCTTTGTCATACTACAGTATATGAGCTATAAAAGCCTGATGTATCAAATATTATACTCCGATTTTTTTTTTGTCTCAAGGTGTAATTTAAAAAAATAAATTTCTGACTTTTTTCAAATGTCAGGATTTTACAGGGTTAAAATGTTCTGATTAGAGAAAATGGAGTGTGAGAATTGATAATAAATCAATCAAAATTCAATTTTAAAACAATTGGCAGCATTTTCCAGTTTCAACATTGCCATAGTTATTACATTTTGTCCTTGTATTTATAGAAAGTATTTTAACACTGAATTCTAACACATTTTGAAGGAAGGCTGTTTCAGATTCATCTTGTTATATAAAGGAGCTGTTCAGCACAATAATATGAATTAGTAAAGTTGTATTTAAAGTGTCAGCTACCCGTTCACTGCCAGCAGAAACAGTGAGCAGCATGTGGGGCTGTTTTTCTCAGCATGGCTTGGTGGAAGTGGGGCTGTGCTTCTGCTGGTTGATTCAGATAATTAAGTGTGAGTTTAAATAATAAAGTCGTCGAGAGAGTGTGTGTTTGTTCAGGCCCCAGTCAAATTAAATAATGGGCTCGTTTCGAACAGACCCAGAGCCCTGGGAATCCATCTTGCATCTTCAATTTCAGCAGGAACATGTATGAAGTTAAACCTTATTATGGTTTCTAACATTTTAATGTTGGTTTTAAATTTTTTTAAAGCTTTTCTGTGAGAATAGAGACCCCTGCGTATGTCTGCAAAGTATCTGGATCACATGAAGAGACAACAAATTCACTATCAGGCGTTAATAATTGATTCAGGCTGTTGGTGTGCAGTAGTCTTTTCTAAGAAGAAGCTAATCGATGTGTTAGGATGGTAATAGAGTTCAGGACAGGCACTTGCAGAATCGGGAAAGAAAGAAATATCCCCTCAGCCAATTAGAGAGCTCTGCAGGGAGACTTGCTGTAGCTTCACCCTGATCTGCTGCTTTCTGTCACTGCCGGTTCTACTCTATACCGCTCTTCTCTTTCACACCCCCTCTACATCTCTAAATATCCACTTTGTGTTCTCTTTTTTTTACTTATTTTTCTTCTTTCTCTCTAGTGTGTTTTTTCCTGTTTTTCTGTACAATTAAACATGCACTCAGTCATTTTAGGTGTAAAACTGTATTTTGAAAAATGTAAAAAAATGATTTACTCTCACATGTAATTAACTCTTGTCATATCAATAGCCTATTAATTTATTAAGTAGCCTTTTTATTTTACATGTAGTGGGTAGCCTCATGTGGGCCGCCCCATGTTGAAATCACATGATTAGCCTTTAGAAATACTGTTTATATATATATATATATATATATATATTATTTTATTTTTATTTTTTTTTGTGGAATATATAGATTTTCTATCTATTTATTATTCCACTATTTATCTAAATCTAATATAAGCATAATCTGATATAAGCATAAGTATTGGGACTGTTTACCTTAAATCAAATGTACAAGAAATGCTGGTAACACTTTAGTGTAGGGACCAATTCTCAGTATTAATTAGTTGCTATGCTTTTTGTTAATAAAAGAATGCTATTATTAACATATTGGCTGTTTATTAGTACTTATAAAGCACATATTCTGCATGACCACATTCTACATCCCTAATCTTACCCAATACCTAACTAACTATTAATAAGCAGCAGATTAGAAGTTTATTGAGGCAAAAGTCATAGTTAATGGTTTGTTAATGCAGAGAATTGGACCTTAAAATAAAGTGTGACTGAAATGCTTTGCAAACCTTTAATGCAGCCATTTTCAACTGTTGCTTGTTTTAGGGAGTTTTTGTCTTTAGTCTCCTCTTCAGTTGGTGAAATGCATGTTTGATTGGATTTAAATATGCAGATTGACTTGGCCAATCCATTTCTTTGCCCTGATAAACTCCTTGACTGAATTGGCAGTGTGTTTTGGGTCAATGTCCTGTTGCAATTTGATGCACCTCCCAATGTGTCTGGTGGGATTTTGAATATTTGTAGCCAAGATGCTTTTGTACACTTCTGCATTCATTCTGCTCTGCCACCATAATTCGTTAAGTCATCAATAAAAACGAGTGAACCTGTTCCAGAGACAGCAATGCATACACTACCTCCACTATGCTTTACAGATGAGGTTTTATGCTTAGGATCATTTGCAGTTCCTTTTTTCCTCCAAACTTTTGCTACTTTGATAAAATGTAATCTTATATATACTTATATATAAATTCATAAAACTGTTCTAAAAATTTGACTGGCTCACATTTTTTGCAGTTTCTAATCTGGCCCTTTTATTTTTGGTGCTGATCAGAGATTTGCATCTTACTATGTGAACCCCAGCTTTCTGGAGGTTGTTGGTGATTTTAATGACACTTATTTTAGGGTTCTTTTTCACAGCTCTTGTTATTTGTCTGTCATCAGCTGCTGTAATGACAAGGCGACCTTGTTATTGTCGATTGCTGAAGTCACCAGTGGTTTCTCTCTTTTTCAAGACATTCCAAACTGTTGATTTGACTATACGTTTGTTCTATAGCTCTAACTGAGTTCCTCTTTTTTCTTTTATCATCCAAATTTCTTGCTTTTCTCTCACAGCCAGCACCCTTTTCCCTCATATTCATCTAGAGATGTCTTGACTCCACAGCAAGCAGACCAGTTTTGACTTTACGGTTCCTCAGTTTAATGTTCCTTTGGCATGTTCCCACCAGACATGAAAAATACACTACTTTCATGATCTAGTCATGAAATATGTACAGTTGTGATCGGAATTATTATTTTGTGAATTCAAATTCACAAAAAATCGAACCATTCATTGCAGTAAAACAATTGAAAATGAGGTCAAAATCGCATTGATATAAATGTTTTCTTCATTGAGCACAATTATTGGCTCCTTTTTATTTAGTACTTTTTGCAACCTTCATTTGCCAAAATAACAGCTCTGAATCGTCTGTTATAATTACTGATGAGGTTGGAGAACACATGGCAAGAGAGCGGAGACCTTTCTTCCGTACAGATCTCTCCAGAGAAGGTTGATTTTGATGTTTGTTTTGGATCATTGTCCTGATGGAAGATCCAACCACAGCCCATAATGTGATTTATTTGATTTTATGTGAATTTTTAAAATCTGTTGGTATTTGTTAGAATCTATGATGCCATCTATCTGAACAGGATGTTCTTTAGCTATTTTCTTACAGCCACTTTCTATTTTGAAGCTCAACAATCTTTTGCTGCACTTCAGAGCTATATTCTTTGGTTTTTCTCATTATGATGAATGATTAAGGGAATTTGGCCTTTGTGTTTCTCATATTTATACACATGTGAAACAGGAAGTCATGGCTGAACAATTTCAAGATATTAGTCACCTTGTGCTAAAAGATGTAAATATTAATGGGAAAATACTTAAGAATTTCTAGGCATGCTAATAATTGTGGCCAACGTGTATTGGAGAAAAACATTTATTTTATAATGTGATGGGTTTTTTTGAGTGAAAGTTCTAAAAGATAAGCAATGTAGGTTTGTTTTCACAGCCGCCTTTGCTCATATTTACCAAGGGGGCTAATAAGTCTGACCACAACTGTATGTAAAGCAGTTGTGCTAAATGTTTAATCATGTTTTATATGTTTGAAACAGTGTTGGAATTCAATGGAGAGAGACCTGCTGTCAAGAAGCTAAACTCAAATGGAGATGAAAATATGACTCCTTACGAAATGAACCTCAAAGATAAATGGTGTGTATAGAGGGAGACAAGGACGTACCCTTTCACCCCTCAAACAGCTGTGTGTATTCATTTGCTCATATCAGATTAGACTACTAATGCTTTCATACACATCTAATGCTTTCTTGCACATCTTTCATGATCTCAATCCCCTCAGCTTGGATATGAGGATAAATAAATGCAATATGTCAGTAATTCATACTCGCTTCTGAGTGCATTTTTATAATATTGCCTCTATCACTAGAGTCAGATCAGATTAGTGGTCAAAGGAGCGATGAAGGATATTAAACAAAAAGATTTTCCAACCCCCCCACACCCATGTCTCAAACCAGTGCCATATAAAAGCAGCCTGTAGGTGTAATCAGCAGGAGTAATGATATATGAATTGCCTTTATACTGAATAAAACAAACTTAACACAGATTAATATTACTTTTTTTTAATATTATTTCTTAACAAGCATTGATATATTTGTACATTTAATATGATTTTTTTTCATCCATGGATTTATTTTGTGGAAAGCATGCCTTTATTTATTTAACTGGATTTTCAGCGTATTTTAGTTTTTGTATGAAATATTTGTAAATGCATAAATATATATATATAAAAAAAAAAATTAAGCTGCAGAACATCTGTGATATCACAAACTAATTTCATCAATAAACAAAACAGTTTTATATGGAACTTTTATTTGATCTTCCAGCTCTAATCACCGGTATACAGATTGGTTGAAGTGTTTGAAGCATTTTCCCTTAATACCTGACCTTTTTATTTTTATTTAAATATTAATATATTTAGTTATATTTATTTAAAGGGTTAGTTCACCCAAAAATTCTGTCATTAATTACTCACCCTTGTGTTGTTCGAAACCCGTAAGACCTTCGTCCATCTTCGGAACACAATTTAAAGGGGTGGTTGACTGTTTTTTTTATAGGCTTGATTGTGTTTATGGGGTGCAGTCTAACATGTGTTAATGCTTCGTTTGTTAAAAAACGCATTATTTTTCACATAATTTACCTTTATTCCACACCTCTGTCCCTTCTCATCTGAACGCACTGATCATTTCCTGCTTTTATGAAGCCCCTCCCTCAGAAATACTTGATGGGCTCTGATTGGTTAGCTGGCCCAGTGTGTTGTGATTGGCTAAACCGCCTCTAGCGTGCGTCTAATCATCCCGCCCCTCAACATAGCAGCATGTGCTCTGGTTGTATTGTAAACAATGATGTCGTCTATATTGCTTATCAATTTGAGCCCAATTGAGACGCAGAGGATTATTGAAGAGGATTGCGCAGAACCTGTGCAAGCACGGCTTTTAATGGTAGGCCTAAGCTTTTTTTGTCTTATAAACTGTCTCATACTTTTACGCTGTTATTTGTAAATGCTACTGCTTCTGTTAGCTTTTAATATATGGTTTTATTCTGATTAAAGCTTTAATACAGTTCGGCAACCACACGCGCGTCCATGTATTACACTTCTCATAGCTATAGTATTTGAAAATAAGTGTATTCACTGGTCTGATGATCTGAATGAGAGCGAGAGAGAGAGATGCAGAGCGTGTGCAGAGCAGGGCGAGGCCAGGAACAGGATGAGAACGCTGCTTTAGAACATTGATTTTGAAACTTGTGAATCCATTAGAATCGTTAAAAGACAGAATCGCGATTCATATATGAATAGATTTTTACATGCACCTGTAGTTTTCTCTTCCTCTTCTCTAAAGCAGCGCAGCATGGCCTCGCCTCCTTTGCTGCATGTTCTTGACGTAACGGGCCCGGAAAGTAACTCCTTGTAGTCGTTTTTGTAGGCATTAAACTGCCAGAATTTTAAAAGACGATATCTCCGTTTACATTGAACTTTCAGCTTCGTAACTTTGCAGATATTGTTTATGATCAAACAGCAACATTACACACTAACTAACATTAAAAAAGTGAAATCGCAATCAACCACCCCTTTAACAAAATTTTGGAAGGGCAAAACTATTTAAGTTGAACTAATTGTATTGCTTGGGCTTGGTTGAGCAGACATATTATATTAAGTCTGCGCAAATATATTTTAAACACATTAAATGAATGGTTATTTTCAAATCCAGTCAACATTCAGATCCGCTTTCGGAAGCCCAAACAAAGAAGTTTGGGCACGGAGGTGAAAAAAACAGTGTTTCAGGTGGTCACGCACCGGACGAGAAGCACAGCGTCACGTCGCGCCATGGCTTTAAAATTCAAATACTTTATTTTCTATGAGTGTAGGCACACCGGCGGCATCTGTCCGCAGCGCCCAGCTATGTCATGTTGTACTTGTAAGAATTGTTCTAGACATGCCGAAAATTTGAGGCTACTGCACAGCAGCTCTTCTTCTTGGTTTTCTCTGATGTACTAACTCTGCAGCAGCACTTCTTCGTCGTCGTCTCGTCTGATGCACTCACTCAACCAAGCATTCTAACCACAACCTCGCCCCTCCCCACCCCCCAACCATTCGAATTTTTTCCCCTCCGTTTGTTTTCTCGTTTTTTCTCTCAGTGATTTTGTTTCCGTTGTGTTTCTCCTGCAATGGATGCCCTGCACCGCGGCTGAGGGTGAGCTGAGTATGGCACGGCGAATGTGCCAAATCGAAGAGGAGAGGGCTCCAGTCCCCGAATTCAGTGCAGAGCGCCCTCCAGTGCCTGCTCCTAGAAAGCGCTCTCCAGTGCCCGCTCCAGTGCCCTTGAGCAAGGCACCGAACCCCCAACTGCTCCTCGGGCGCCGCAGCAAAAAATAGCTGCCCCCTGCTCCGGGTGTGTGTTCACTGTTTGTGTGTGTTGACTGCTGTGTTGCTGTGTGTTGGATGGGATAAATGCAGAGCACTAATTCCGAGTATGGGTCACCATACTTGGCCACATGTCACGTCACTCCGTCACTCAATCCTGTTCCCTTGTTCAGCCTAGAGGGGGCTCCCAATCCAGAGTTTATCCCTGAATGCCTGGAAACTCACAAATGCCCGCCCTCTCCTGCCTCCTCCACCGCTGTCGTCTGGCAGCCCCTCTGCTCCCCCTCAGCCCACCATCATTACGGTGCGAACTCTGCGGGTCTGCCATTTTCCAGTGTCGCCTTGGCTGGAGAATCCCTCACCTCCGCCTTCAGCCTCCGAGGCCCGGACTCCGCCTCGGCCCGTAGACGCAGCGGCACCACCTCGGCTCCTAGCTCCTTCACCTCCACCATCACCCGTCGATCCACCAGCTCCACCGGGCTCCCTCGTTCCGCCGGCTCCACCTTGGTCTGGCGTCGACCCGCCATCGCCTCAGGACTCCACTTCTCCGGCTGCACCTCGTCGCTCCATCCCACTGGCTTTGTTGGTCTCCTTCCTCCCGCCAGCTCCACCTTGGTCCTCAATCGCTCTGGCTCTGCCGTGGATCTCTGAATCTACGCCTCTGCCTTGGTCGCCAGAGCCCTCAGCTCCACCCTGGCCCCCCGGATCCTCGGCATCCCGCTGGCTCTTTGGCTCTCCGTCCAAACAAAGAAGTTTGGGCACGGAGGTGAAAAAAACAGTGTTTCAGGTGGTCACGCACCGGACGAGAAGCACAGCGTCACGTCGCGCCATGGCTTTAAAATTCAAATACTTTATTTTCTATGAGTGTAGGCAAACCGGCGGCATCTGTCCGCAGCGCCCAGCTATGTCATGTTGTACTTGTAAGAATTGTTCTAGACATGCTGAAAATTTGAGGCTACTGCACAGCAGCTCTTCTTCTTGGTTTTCTCTGATGTACTAACTCTGCAGCAGCACTTCTTCGTCGTCGTCTCGTCTGATGCACTCACTCAACCAAGCGTTCTAACCACAACCTCACCCCTCCCCACCCCCCAACCATTCGAATTTCTGTAGGACAAACATACACACTGACTAAAATTTAAAAAGTGGAAAAGCATAATAGGACCCCTTTAAATTGTGTTCCGAAGATGAACGAATGTCTTGCGGGATTCGAACAACACTAGGGTGAGTAATTAATGACAGAATTTTCATTTTTCCTTGGGGGAAGTCGTGGCCTAATGGTTAGAGAGTCGGACTCGTAACTCGTAGGTTGCGGGTTAGAGTCTCGTACCGGCAGGGATTGTAGGTGGGGGGGGAGTGAATGTACAGCGCTCTCTTCCACCTTCAACACCACGACTGAGGTGCTCTTGAGCAAGGCACCGAACCCCCAACTGCTCCTCGGGCGCCGCAGCAAAAAATAGCTGCCCACTGCTCCGGGTGTGTGTTCACTGTTTGTGTGTGTTGACTGCTGTGTGTGTGCACTTTGGATGGGATAAATGCAGAGCACTAATTCCGAGTATGGGTCACCATACTTGGCCACATGTCACGTCACTCAATATATATTTATTTAAATATTAGGTTTGTTTAATATATATTTACTTATTTATATTTATATATATTATATATATATTTCAGTAATTTTCTTATGCTTTTTGTTGCTTGACAGATTTGTCCATAAAATTATTTTTATATTTTGCACTTAAAAGTACTTAAATTGAATTCTATTAAACATACTCTGGTGTGACAATTAGCCTCATAACACTGTGTTTGACTTTCAGGTATCAAGATGATTTCCGCCCACTTGTGGAGGGCTGCAGCTGCTACTGCTGTAAAAAGCATATGAGAGCATATGTTCATCATTTACTGGTGACCAACGAGCTGCTCGGCGGTGTTTTACTCATGCTACACAACATGGCGCATTACCTTGGCTTCTTCAAAGCGCTCCGGGAGGCAATAACCAGCGACCGTCTGCAGGACTTTAAAAATAGAGTCCTCCATTGCAGAGAAGTTGATTGAAATGATTGAAGGACTTGAGGAAAAAAGAACACCTACATCAGAGCATACTTACGGCTTTGATTTCAGAGTGTGTGTTTCATGAATATAAAGTTGGATTCTGATGCATGTGCCATGCAAAATATCAGACAACAAGTGCTAATGTGAGTGACACAGCAAACCTTTTAAGATTCGCATGGCTCATTTCAGAGTTCGCTTATGGATTTTAAATTTGTCATCTGCTCTGTCAAAGAACAGTTTCACTTAGACGGAGCATTAATAATATTGAAATTACCTTTTTAAAGAGCAGCACTTGCTCAGATTCTCTCTAAAGCCCTGAAAAGTTACCACCTGCTGTTTTATTCAGCACATTTTTTCAGACGAGTTAGATTTATTATTGAAAAGTGCTGCATTTTTTTTCTCTTTCTTACAACAATGGTATTGAATAATATTTATTATTGCACATTATTATTATTGTATACACTTGTACACTTGTGATGTTGTTTAGATTAAAATAACATTTTAAGTTTAACTTTAAGTTTTAGGCATTTTTTCTTTAAACCACAATGCAAATCTAGATTTTTGACTTAATTGTATCGATTTTTTTTCTGATCTTCACATTCCTATTCATATAATTTATTTTATTTTACAATAAATGCACAGCTATAAACCTTTTAGCTTTGACTATATTCACAATACGGCACCTTTATAGTACCTTTTGCCTTTATATAAATTGAGTGTTAAATCTGTGTATATTGTAGCACAGATAAAGTGTTGTAGTGACCGGTCAGCTTCCAGGGCCATAACCATTTTCATTGTTTTATGACATTTATAATTAAGGATGCATGAGTGAAATTGACAGTGTGTACTGTAACATATATTCATTTGGTAGTTTTTATTCAGTGCGGTCTACAAAAGGAATGCTACAGTGCAAGCAGTTCATAAGGAGATAAGTGCAGCAATACAAAGTTTCAAAGTTGGCCATGTATCAGCTAGTACTGCAATATAGGTGTAAAAGAGTCAAGTACGGGATATTCTTTTAAATACTTAAGTAAGGGAAAGTGTGTTGTAGTGGGAGTGTTTTAAAGAGTAGAAGTGACAAAGCCTGGGTTAGGTGCAAGCTGCAGAAATTGGAAATCAAAGGGAATCAATGAAAGATGGCCTGAAATTGTTTGCAGTGTTGTTATTTAGGTAAAGCTTTGTTTTCCAATAGTCCTTTGTTTCTCCAAAAGACTGAGATCACGTTTTTTAATTTTTTATTTACACTATACTAGCCAAAAGTTTGGAATAATTCAGCTATTTTATTGTTTTTGAAAGACGTCTATGCTCACCAAGGCTGCATTTATTTGATCAGAAATACACTAAAAACAATTTACAATTTAAAATAACTATTATCTATTTTTTTATATTTTAATATGTAATTTTTCCTGTGACAGAAAAGCAGAATTTTCAGCAGCCAACTTAAGTGTCACATGATCCTTCAGAAATCATTCTAATATGCTGAGAAACAATCAAGAAACAATTCTCATTATTATTATTATTATTATCACAGTTGCGTAATGTTTATGTGAAAATTGTGATACACTGAATCAAAATTCAACTCATCAAAACTGACAGTAAAGACATTTATAATGTTATAAAATATTTCTATTTCAAATGCTGTTCTTTTGAACTTTGTTCATCAAAGCATCCTCAAAAGAGGGTGACACGGAGGAGACGAATTGTTGAATAAAGTCGTTTTTTTTTTTTTTTTTTTGCACACAAAAATTATTCTCGTAGATTCGTAAATTTACGGTTGAGCCCCTGATGTCACATGGATGATTTTACAGATCTCCTTGCTACGTCTCTGGACTTGGGAACATTTCAGTTGTATTGCTGTCTATGTAGGGTCAGACAGCTCTCAGATTCCATCAAAAATATCTTAATTTGTGTTCCGAAGATGAACGACGGTCTTACGGGTTTGAAACGACATGAGGGTGAGTAAATAATGACAGTATTTTCATTTTTGGGTGAACTAACCCTTTAATACAGCCGATGACTGTAGTGTCGTCTGCGAACTTCAGGAGCTTGACAGAGGGGTCTTTAGAGGTGCAGTCATTCGT